CGCATGTGACAGCAGACACTGAAAAGTTGAAAGATGTGACTGGAAAGAACAACCACTCGACTTCAACAATAACGGCATGAAGTTGCTACTGTTTTAAGCAAACAACGGACAGTCCATTATGAATAAATTCGAGGACCGATCCGCGCATCAGCATACCTGGTACATGGAAGCTTGAACACAGAAGTCGATGACCGATTTCATAATCGTATCGTCTGACTTAAGACGCTTAGTAATGGAATGTTCGCGTTAAAAGAGAGGTACAGATGTCATCATCTTGATGCTGGCACGCTACGCTATGAGAAATGAAGTACCATGCGAAGGTCTGGTGGCAGAAGCAACCAGAGAATCAAATGGGAAACACTACCTTCGGTGGATACGACAGCGAAATTTGAAAACAACATCGCAAGATGGTTTCAACAAATCCAGGTGATGACAGCTGATGTGGAAATCGAGTGGGAGCTCGTTAAGAGCGGCAGACTGGAAGCAGCCGCCGAATGCTGCGAATTCAAACGGGTTCGCCAACCACCTGGAGATCAGAAATGGATTTAATGGATGACATGAGAGGTACGACTGGCAGCAAAAGAGAAGGCTGCATTCAAGAAATGATACAGAAGAACAAACTTCTACTCTCATGTAATATATCGAAGCGCGGAAGGGGACAGCGAAAGCACAGGTAAAGCCAAAGCTTTTTAATGGGAGAAGCTCAGTGAGGTGCTGGAGTCGAATTTCCAGACGCGAACAAGGTATTCTGGCAGACCATCCGCCGGCTCCTAGGTGAAAAGAAAGCCAGTCTAAGGGTCTTCAAGGAAAGATCTATACACCACTTATCGAGGATAAGGACATTCCTCAGCGATGGAGAGACTACTTTGAGGAACTCCTTCATCCTGAGCAACCGCAAAGACTCACCTGTAGAGCAGAAGGGAACGGATATTATAATTTCTGAAATGAAGTCATACAAACTGTGAAAAGCTTGAAAAGTAGAAAAGCAGCTGGCATTGATGAAAACCGTGCTCAAGGCATTAGGCGAACAAGGCATGTGTTGGCTAACACGTGCCTGTCGAACTACCATGACTGCGGGAAAGACACCAGCGGACTGGAGAAAGGGAGTTATTGTATCCGTATTCATAAAGGAAGACCACAAGAAATGCTCCAAGGGCATTACTGATCCTCCAAGGTAAAGTCTATGCAAAGGTGCTATAAAGGAAGTGCCGTGAAATAAATGACCTCAAGAATAAAGAACAGTGTGGCTTCCGGCCTGGTCGAAGCACCTCTGAGCATATTTGCCGAAAAACCACGGAGTTCGCCCATTCGATGCATATGGTCTCGGTTGACCTCGAAAAAGCCTATGACAGGATAGCACGCAACAGTTTGTGGGCATTTCTGCGAACATATGGGATGGATGGCCAGTAGCTACGGCCAACCAATCGATACATATTGACAGGAGGCGCTGCGTCTGAGTAAATGGCGTTAAGTCGAAGCCTTCCAGTATTGGCACTCGTCTCCGCCAAGGCTGAGTTCTGTTCCTTTCCTGTTTGTGTTGTATACTGATAGAAATATCTGGCGCAACGAAGACGATAAGTGTATTTGTGCAAATGTCGAAACGAGACAGTTGTTGCTAGCAAACGACCCTACTTTATTGGCATCTTCTGAAACTGATCTACGGCGCTCTCTGGAAAGATTCGCAGGCGAGTGTGTCGCAGCCATGGGTGTGA